CTGCTGTCAGATCGTGAAAATATGCATCACATAACAAGATAAACCCAAATTACTTAACTTAATATTTTCCTTAAAATTTCCTATTCCTCGCTATGGGAATATTTATTATATCTTCCGTTTCCCTCACAAATATATTTAATTTTCTGAATAATACGTATAATAAAATGAATAACTCAAAAACTAAAATACAATATTAATATTGGGTAATGACTCGATATGATCAAAACTTTTGAATTCATACATTTTTTGAAAAATTTGGATTTTTCAAAAATGATTTTGTTTGAGCATGAACGTGAAGCGATATTTTAAGGAAAATATTAAGTTAAGTAATTTGGGTTTATCTTGTTATGTGATGCATATTTTCACGATCTGACAGCAGAAATCGAATCAGCGGAGCCTGAAGAATCAGATTACGCGGGGAAAATAGGTTTTGAACGCTTAGATAGGGCTAAAATGAGACTTTATGAGGTGTGTTGTATAAATATAGTTTTTGCGATAATATGTCATGAGATCAGAATACGAAGGGAGTATGTATGCGTTATTGTCACATGTTTATATGTGGAAATAGCTCAGTAGAGTCTGTAAGATAGTTCGGTACACACCATAAGTTATATAAAGCACAAAAAATAAAAAATAAATATTAAAAAGGTAAAATTATATTAGAAAAAATATGTGTGAGGGGATGTCTCTATAAAACATAGTTAATTGACAAAGGGGATGCACAATACACTCTTGTCGGTCAAAGTTTTGCAATCACATTCTGATTGCAAAAGATTGTTCCATTCTGGGATACATGCAGAGGCAATGTCTCCCAGAATGAGACACTGCGACCGACAAGAGTGCACAATACACTCTTGTCGGTCAAAGTTCCACATTCAAGTTATGAATGCGGAACTTTCTATCATTCTGGGATACATGCAGAGGCAATGTCTCCAGAATGAGACACTGCGACCGACAAGAGTGCACAATACACTCTTGTCGGTCAAAGTTTTGCAATCACATTCTGATTGCAAAAGATTGTTCCATTCTGGGATACATGCAGAGGCAATGTCTCCCAGAATGAGACACTGCGACCGACAAGAGTGCACAATACACTCTTGTCGGTCAAAGTTCCACATTCAAGTTATGAATGCGGAACTTTCTATCATTCTACGAGACCTCGAAAAGAACCTCACATCGACTCTCTCTTTCCGACATCTTTACCGCATAGAAAGCTGCTCGTTCGCAACTTTGTGTGCAATCTAAGAGATGATTGCGGTAAAGATGCCGGGAAGATTGACGCTGCAGCCCCAGGCCGCACTCAGATTTCATCCCGCTACACAATTGTTCATCCAACAACTGTCATAGAGGTTGAAATTTTCGACCAGAAGTGAAACATATCATTTTTAAGACTGTGGCGCGCAAGCAAGTTTGAACCTTTCAAGGGTGATCAGTCCTTTACTCATTTCAAGACCTCTTGTTGCCTGATAAAACGATACTTCCTTCCTTGTGAGCCATTAAAAACCGCTCAAACCGTCACAACTTGCTTCCTAAATTTTATTTGCGGAGTAATTATCATGCATATTTTATCGGATAATAATATAAAAGCTAAATTTCATATTATTTTTTAAAGATATGCATTTTCTGTCTAAATTTATTTTTTCTGTTTCCAATTCACGGAATAATATTCTTACAAGCATATCCATAGCTAATATATATCATTTTAATAATAATAAAACCAAAATGATGTATTCTTCATATAGTTATTTAAAATCCGTTAACTAGAATTGTATTCAGAACGAGGCAAAGTTAGGAGATACATAAAAACCAATAACTTGATAAGTGATACCTTTTTTCCTGATATATCTATATGTGTTAATGTCAAACACGATTTGGAAAAATTAATTCTTTAAATCGGCTTATGAATAAGACCAACATCAAAGACATGGCTAATAAATTAATAAATCAATGTTTAATTACCGATTCATGCATTTTTTTCAAAATTTCAAATTTCAAATTTTTGTTTCTCCAAAATATTAATTGTTTTGTTGTCAACAGAAATTCATCAAAAGTGACACCCCAGAAAAGCTAAAATATTGAATTTTTGGAACTTTTGATAGAGCACGTTTTTAAATATTAATTAAAGTAAATGTATATTTTGTAAAGATTCTTTTTAATAAAAAAATAAAATTTTGAAGAAGAACACAAAATCTTCTGAAAAATAATATCACATAAACTCATATTATTTTCTAATATATAACTATTTTATATAAAAATCAAATTCAATGATCTTAAAAGCGAAGGATAAACCTCAAAATTTACGAATATAATGAGTGGGAATATAATGCTTATCTATCATAAAACCATATGAAATATCAATTTTTGCTTTACGCCTAATTTTTGACGACAATTAGCAAAAAATGTTAAATGTTAACACTCAGTCCATTTGAATATGAAAAATAAAATTGACTTTGATTAAATGTTTTTATTTATCATGCAATTCTTCTTGCGACCAAAGATTTGAATAAAATTTCAAAAAAAAAGATAGCTTAAAAAATAATATACGGTAGTGTTTACTAATAGATGAATAGTATATAAATTCTATTAAAATGGATTTGATCCAAAAAAATATAAAACCAAAAATAATTGTTATAATTTAAATGAAGAAGTAATTTAAAACGATTTTATTTATGATCAAATTTTATATATTTTTTTGGATCAAATCCATTTTAATAGAATTTATATACTATTCATCTATTAGTAAACACTACCGTATATTATTTTTTAAGCTATCTTTTTTTTTGAAATTTTATTCAAATCTTTGGTCGCAAGAAGAATTGCATGATAAATAAAAACATTTAATCAAAGTCAATTTTATTTTTCATATTCAAATGAACTGAGTGTTAACATTTAACATTTTTTGCTAATTGTCGTCAAAAATTAGGCGTAAAGCAAAAATTGATATTTCATATGGTTTTATGATAGATAAGCATTATATTCCCACTCATTATATTCGTAAATTTTGAGGTTTATCCTTCGCTTTTAAGATCATTGAATTTGATTTTTATATAAAATAGTTATATATTAGAAAATAATATGAGTTTATGTGATATTATTTTTCAGAAGATTTCATTCTATATGCCTATGAAAAGTACTCTCAAAACTAACTTTTTCCTAATTATAATTAAATCTAGAATATTGTATTATGCTTAGTATTATTTCATTTTCTCATTCAATTTAGAATTTACAAATGTCAAAAAATTGAGAGCTGTCACTTTTGATGAATTTCTGTTTATTACAGTTTCCACTAGATTAACAAATAAACAATAAATTGGAATAATGTAATGCCCAATCATTCATTTTAAATTTTAGATTTAAAACAATATTTTCTCCATATTATTATAACATGAATCGCTATGATATAAGAAATATATTTTCAATATTGAAATTGAAAAATTCTAAAATTTTTGAAATTCAATTTGAGTGTGATGATCGATAACATATATTTTTAATTAAAATATTGTGTCGCTATCATATAAATATACTATTTCTAAATTAAAAATAGGGGAAAAAGTACTATTTAATGATGAAATTGCAAATAATATCAATATATATATATTCATGCTGATATATTTTGGGAACAGATTGGAAATCACATAAATAGGATTGTGTTAGTTTGTCATTGATATAAAACAAATTTTCGAGCTAATTGAGCGAATTCAACACAAACACTTATATTTTCTATTACAAGGTATATTTGTAATATACAACCAGTAAATAGCTTTCTCTAACTTTTACCAGCTTAGATGATAGCAAATTAGATACGAATTTCATGACCCCTCACCAAATTCCATTAAAACATATACAAATAAAAGTACTAAGTGGGTATCATCTAACCCTAGAATTATAGCTCCTAGGACTCATCCTAGATGGTAGTTCTGGAAAAACACCTGGTTTTTGGAGTTGCAAAAGTTAAAAATTGAGGGTAATTCAAAACTTTACAAAATAAATTGAAAATGGAATTAAAGTTGCTATATCAACAACCATGTTGTATTATTAATAAATATTAATATTAAGAAATGTTCGTTTCAATAAAAATTGTGAAGAAGAACATTGGAGAGTTAACATTGGATCTGCTTAATTTTTTAAGATACAGCATGGAGAGCAACAACATTTTCGATTTTTTCATTTCTCTTTGGGCAAATTCTTGCGCTAACATTGAAGAAGTACTTGTTTTGGATAATTGCTTTCAATAATTCAAAATTTTTCATCTCGATTTATTTTCTGTCTTTGGTCAAAGCTGTCTCCTATAGCGATGAAAAGCGTGTCACACAATATCCAGAACCAAATAAGTGAGTTCATGGACTTTAAACTGCAGCAGATGATATATTATTAGCCTTCGGATGTATTTTTCAAACTAAACTTAATTTTTTTGCTGATATGGCTTTTTAGTTGATACGCTTAGATCCTAAAACAATGAAACCTTGTGATATACATGATACTAAAGATGCAATCACAAGTTGGAGAGTTTTCTATGTTTTGGACGTCATTAAATTTGATTGAGATTTGGATAATCATATGTTTATTATATTTTAATGTATTTTACAATTAATACCAGATGATCTAATGAATGAAAATCCTACATTATTATTATTTAGAAAAATATACAACAGGCGAAAATAAAGCAGTATTTTCAGAGAATTACATGCTGCATCTAAAATCTAATGCATACAAATAAAGCATATTATATCTCTAATCCAAAAGGAGTAACTAATGGTAAAAATATTTATTTGAATTCTAAAAAAAACTTACCCATTTGTATGCATTTCCCAACAGAAGCCATCAGCTCCGTGATTTCTTGGTTTTGCATGTGCAATCTTAATCACATCTCGATAAAGTAGAACTGTCTCAAAAGATTTAGAATTAACGCAATAGATTTTAAATTGAATAGGATGTCACTTTTGTGAGATAATTTTAATGTTCAATAAGATAACCTAAGAATTGGGATTATTTTTTATTGAATGAGTAGAAATAATTTATTCAAAAGTTTATTTTATTCTATGAATTATTCACAAGAGCTCGAAACTCTTCGAAGAGAACACTTAGCAGCAGTGGATGATTTTGATTTTAAGCTTGCTCAAGATCTCAGTATTAGAATTAAAAAGTTAGAGCAGGGTTTGAAAAAATCAAGTTCTAAATCAAATATAGAATTTCTCGAAACCTCGAGAAAAATCCGCTCGCTAGCCGATTACGAAACTCATCAGTATGAAACCGATCGTCTTGAGATCGAAGATAGATATAACGAACGCATTAATCATCTTCTTGACCAGCAACGTCAACAACTCATTGATCTTGAAAATTCTTATCAGTTAAATAAGCAGAGGGAACTTAATCGACCTGTATACGAAGTTGAATTAAAAAAGAATCAATCTAAAAAATTCGGAATTAATCATGATTACTACATGGCTAATGCTTTATATCAAGAAGCATCCAGAATTGAAAAGAATTACCGCGATAAAAGACTCAACGATTGCTATGAATTATATATTCGCCAAAAAATCAAACTAGAAAAGAAGCACAAAAAGGAAATTTCTTTTTTGGAAGAAAAACGAAAGCTGGAACTTCAAGAACTCGAACAAAATCATGAACGTGAACAAAACCGATTCGAAAACTCTCAGATTGTTGCAAAAGTTAGGTCTAGTCTTTATACTAGGGAGTTTCCAAAGGTAACTAGATATATGAAACCTTCCAAGCGATCAATTTCTTCCCTAACAATGTAGCAAAGAGTTAAAATAAGAGTTATGTATTGTTAATTCGCGCCATATGATTATGTTTGTAAATGTTATTTTTCATGATTTTATAGAAGAAAATTTTTTTGATATTTTTTTTTCAAAACATTCATGCTCGATTTTTTTGATCTCTTGCTAAAATGATTTTCAGTATCGTATGCAAAAATTATTCATTTATAATTTTTGTTATTTACAGAATTAATATAAATTCCATTCATTTTAATGAAATAAATATAAAAGGTAAATAAATATAAATTTTACATGCTAATCTCTATATTAAAAACAAGGAATAACGATCTGAAGTTATGAATTAAATAAGTTCATCAATTGAATCCATAGGAGAGTAGAAGAGATTAAATATCTCTTCTTGAGAAACTGTTGATAAGAACTGCATTATTTTGGAATTCGAATCCTTGCAAGTATTATCATTCTTCTTAACTTTAAGACCATTTTTAATAATTTTAGTATCTTTTTTGGACTTCTTTCTGAGAGCTCTTCGTTGACGTAATTTAAATCTATTTCTGATGCAATTGCCAGATCTTGTTGGGAAAAATTCAGCAATTTTATGCCAACGGGAACCAAACTCTTGATAAAGCTCATCAAGCATTTTATCTTCCTCGTCTGTCCATGGATCATTCCTGAGCTCTGGGGATAGATAATTAATCCATCGCTCACGGCATTGCCTAGCATTCTTAGTTTTCATTTCTTGGCTAACAAGATCCCAGTTTTCTGTACCTAATCTTTCAACAATTGTGGTTAAGCGTTCATCATCCTCATGAGTAAATTTAATCTTCGGGATTGCCACTTTAGCCATAGCCGATTGATAATTTGAAGTAAATTCAGTATATTTTACATCTACTTTCAATTTGAAAAAAAATTATGATAGTACATGAAAAAACGTGCTTTTGGTTAAATAGGAATAATATTATTTATTAAAGCAGTGAGCACAGTAGTGTATATTTTTAATCTGAGTTCATTAAAGTTTTATTAGAATTGAATTGATTGAATGGATTAAAAAAGGTATTGAAAAGTTAAAATATTTAAAATGTATTACGGAAATAAGGAGAACAAAAAATGATTTTTCAATAATTTGTATAAATATTCACAATAATTGTTTTGAGGTAGCAAATTTTTGAAAGTAAGAAGTCTCAGAAAAAATAACTATCAGCATTAGAAGAACGCTTACATAAAATAATTGCAGAGTATAGATCTTTCACCCATTCCAAAAAACCTATTGAAAAAAATGAATTACTATTAAAATATAATTTTAAAATTTGATGGATATTCTCTAAATTTGTATCGATAAATTTTAATCTGTATAGTTCAAATTTTGAAAGCTGCTTTCAATTTTATGTCAAAACAACTAGAGCTAACAAAATATGATTAATTTTTGAATATCAAAAAAAAATTAAGTTTAATAAAAATATGAATGATTTATATTTCATAATTGATAATAACTTGAATTAATTATTTTAATTTAGTTATAATTTTGATTTTTTTTACAATCGGAATGCATTATTTTTAAATCAATTTAGTAATTTATTTGAATTTCAATGTATTTTAAAATGTGATTTACCCTACTTTTCCAACATTTAGAAAACATGCATGACCCCCTACCCAGGGTCCAAAAATTGGTATTTTCTGCGCTCAGGCAACATGAGTTTTTGGGCCGCCAAATGAATAGCTCAAATAGTTTCCTCATATAGAGACATGCTTATGCTTAGAGTTTGAAGGGAATCTAAAGTGATTTTTTTCTGCATTTCGAAATCTAATGCAATCTTAAAATCATGATTAAACTGCGAATCTGGGCGCAATTTTTTAATATGTTAATATATGAAGGTACTCCTACTACTGCGAATGCTTCAAATGAAAATTCAAGAAATCAGATTAATTTGATCACATTAGTATAGTAGTGGTCAATCCAAAAACTCATATGTTGATATATAACCTATAGAGATGATAATTATCGACTCTTCATTGAAATGCATAAGATTTAATAATCTCATAAATATTCTTTTTAATTTTCAGTATTTCGTGTGCATTTAGATTGCATATACCTGTATATGATATTTCTAGAATGTTTTGGTTAGATATTAAGTTTTTTAGATTAATATTTTAACATTTTGATAAAACAAGCAATTGTTCCATTTTGGAATCGCGATTGAACTCTAGTTTGACTAATATGATGTTGTATGATCAAATAAATTCTAACTTCATGAGATAAATTTTGAAATTAGAAAATGCGATATCTGACTCAAATATTTATATGAACACATTTAACATTCAATGATAAACTAAAGTAATATACAGCAGATTCGATTTGGCTTATATTTTAAATATTCAACAAATAATCTTATAAAATTGTGCTATTCACGTTTCTCAAAGATGAATTAAGCATTTACAACTTGTGCATTGATGGAATTAGATATGGATTCTAATGTTAATCGATATTTTGTAAATTGATATATATTTTATCATGGTTTGACATTTGATCGTGTTGAAACCGGAATTGCAATATGCATCATCTATATATATAATTGTCAAAATATGAGCTATAGATTTTTAAATTATGCTCCTGATTATGAGTGACTTATATGATTATATTGAATTGAGTAGTAAGAATCATAAATATTAGAATATTACGATAATGTATTATACCTTATAGAAGCTTAAGGCTAAAAATGATGATGAAAATGTAGCTCAAATTTAAGTCTAAAATTTTGAAAAAATTAAGTGCTTATGATAGTATGACGATATTGGTGTTTGAATGTAAGAAATTAGAGATGTATTAGAAGCATTATGAGAAAATAATAAGATATAAAAACAAATTTTATGAAATAATTTAAGTTTAAGAGGTGTTAACATTGGTAATGTGTGAATAAGATAGTAGAATTGTATTGGATCTTTGATTAGTATTTTATAACAATTTATTAATGTAGATGTGATTAGAATGTTGGATTTCAAAGGAGAAAGCGGATTGTTCACTCTTGTTGGTCTGCATGTGTCATTCCGGGAGACATTGCCTGTGCATGTCTCCCAGAATGGCATACTGTTCCGCATTCATAACTTGAATGCGGAACTTTGACCGACAAGAGTGCATTGTGCACTCTTGTTGGTCTGCATGTGTCATTCCGGGAGACATTGCCTGTGCATGTCTCCCAGAATGAAACAATTTATTGCAATCAGAATACGATTGCAAAACTTTGACCGACAAGAGTGCATTGTGCACTCTTGTTGGTCTGCATGTGTCATTCCGGGAGACATTGCCTGTGCATGTCTCCCAGAATGGCATACTGTTCCGCATTCATAACTTGAATGCGGAACTTTGACCGACAAGAGTGCATTGTGCACTCTTGTTGGTCTGCATGTGTCATTCCGGGAGACATTGCCTGTGCATGTCTCCCAGAACGAGACAATTTATTGCAATCAGAATACGATTGCAAAACTTTGACCGACAAGAGTGCATTGTGCACTCTTGTTGGTCTGCATGTGTCATTCCGGGAGACATTGCCTGTGCATGTCTCCCAGAATGAAACAATTTATTGCAATCAGAATACGATTGCAAAACTTTGACCGACAAGAGTGCATTGTGCACTCTTGTTGGTCTGCATGTGTCATTCCGGGAGACATTGCCTGTGCATGTCTCCCAGAATGGCATACTGTTCCGCATTCATAACTTGAATGCGGAACTTTGACCGACAAGAGTGCATTGTGCACTCTTGTTGGTCTGCATGTGTCATTCCGGGAGACATTGCCTGTGCATGTCTCCCAGAATGGCATACTGTTCCGCATTCATAACTTGAATGCGGAACTTTGACCGATAAGAGTGCATTGTGCACTCTTGTTGGTCTGCATGTGTCATTCCGGGAGACATTGCCTGTGCATGTCTCCCAGAATGAAACAATTTATTGCAATCAGAATACGATTGCAAAACTTTGACCGACAAGAGTGCATTGTGCACTCTTGTTTGTCATCCACTATGATACTTAGAGAAAATACTTTACTTACATTATTTAAAATATTAATTTCCCTATTTAATATTTATTTATTATTTTTTGTGCTTTATATTCCCTATGGCATGTACTGAACTATTTTATAGACTCTACCGAGCTATCTCCACATATAAACATTTGACAATAACACATATATACTCTCTTCATATTCTAGTCTCATGACATATTATTGCAAAAGCGTATTTATACAGCATACCTCATAAGTCTCATTATATCCCTATCTAAGCGTTCAAAACCTATTTTCCCCACGTAATCTGATTCTTCAGGCTCCGCTGATTCGATTTCTGCTGTCAGATCGTGAAAATATGAATCACATAACAAGATAAACACAAGTTACCCAACTTGATATTTTCGGTAAAAAAACTCTTTAAGTTCATGTTCAAACAACATCATTTTAGAAAAATTCAATTTTTTCCAAAAGTGTGTGAATTCAAAAAGTCACAATATATCTAGTTATTACCCAGTATTAATTTTTTAATTTAGTTTTGAGATATTCATTTTAAATACGTATTATTCAGAAAATTAAATACATTTGTAAGGGAAAACGGAATTAATAACAAATATATGAATATCGTGGAAGAGTCAATTTGAAGAAAACATTATTATTTTGGATTTGTGTTTATCTTGTTATGTGATTCATATTTCACGATCTGACAGCAGAAATCGAATCAGCGGAGCCTGAAGAATCAGATTACGTGGGGAAAATAGGTTTTGAACGCTTAGATAGGGATATAATGAGACTTTATGAGGTATGCTGTATAAATACAGCTTTTGCAATAATATGTCATGAGACTAGAATATGAAGAGAGTATATATGTGTTATTGTCAAATGTTTATATGTGGAGATAGCTCGGTAGAGTCTATAAAATAGTTCAGTACATGCCATAGGGAATATAAAGCACAAAAAATAATAAATAAATATTAAATAGGGAAATTAATATTTTAAATAATGTAAGTAAAGTATTTTCTCTAAGTATCATAGTGGATGACAAACAAGAGTGCACAATGCACTCTTGTCGGTCAAAGTTTTGCAATCGTATTCTGATTGCAATAAATTGTTTCATTCTGGGAGACATGCACAGGCAATGTCTCCCGGAATGACACATGCAGACCAACAAGAGTGCACAATGCACTCTTATCGGTCAAAGTTCCGCATTCAAGTTATGAATGCGGAACAGTATGCCATTCTGGGAGACATGCACAGGCAATGTCTCCCGGAATGACACATGCAGACCAACAAGAGTGCACAATGCACTCTTGTCGGTCAAAGTTCCGCATTCAAGTTATGAATGCGGAACAGTATGCCATTCTGGGAGACATGCACAGGCAATGTCTCCCGGAATGACACATGCAGACCAACAAGAGTGCACAATGCACTCTTGTCGGTCAAAGTTCCGCATTCATAACTTGAATGCGGAACAGTATGCCATTCTGGGAGACATGCACAGGCAATGTCTCCCAGAATGAGACACTGCGACCGTCAGGAGTGCATATTATCATCAAAAATTCAAAAAAAAAACATTTTTCTTTTTTCTTTGGCGAAAAATGTACTTATTTTTTTGAAATTTTCGAAATATGATTTTTTTCGGGAGACTTTTTCAAAATTTTAATATGATAAATATGAGTTATTTTATGTTCTCTATTTGAGAGTCTGCTTATTTTTGAGTATTGAGCAAGATTGAAAAATGAGAATATTTAGGAACATAATAAATCGATTTATCTCGTCATGTAGTTCATATTTTCGCGTTCTGAGAGCGGAAAACACATTTTTTGAATGCGTAGATTCCGAATCACACGGAAA